AGTGAGTGTGAGTGAGTGTGTGTGTGTGTGTGAGAGTGAGTGTGAGTGTGTGCGTGTGAGTGATTGAGTGATTGTGTGTCTGTGAGTGTGTGTGTGTGTGTCAGTGAGTGAGTGTGAGTGTGAGTGAGTGTGAGTGAGTGTGTGTGAGTGATTGAGTGATTATGTGTCTGTGTGTGAGTGCGTGTGTGTGTGTGTGTGTCAGTGAGTGAGTGTGAGTGTGAGTGTGTGTGTGCGTGTGTGTGAGCGAGTGTGTGTGTGTGTGGGGGTGCGTGTGTGTGAGCGAGTGTGTGTGTGTGTGGGGGTGCGTGTGTGTGAGCGAGTGTGTGTGTGTGTGGGGGTGCGTGTGTGTGAGCGAGTGTGTGTGTGTGTGGGGGTGCGTGTGTGTGAGCGAGTGTGTGTGTGTGTGGGGGTGCGTGTGTGTGAGCGAGTGTGTGTGTGTGTGGGGGTGCGTGTGTGTGAGCGAGTGTGTGTGTGTGTGGGGGTGCGTGTGTGTGAGCGAGTGTGTGTGTGTGTGGGGGTGCGTGTGTGTGAGCGAGTGTGTGTGTGTGTGGGGGTGCGTGTGTGTGAGCGAGTGTGTGTGTGTGTGGGGGTGCGTGTGTGTGAGCGAGTGTGTGTGTGTGTGGGGGTGCGTGTGTGTGAGCGAGTGTGTGTGTGTGTGGGGGTGCGTGTGTGTGAGCGAGTGTGTGTGTGTGTGGGGGTGCGTGTGTGTGAGCGAGTGTGTGTGTGTGTGGGGGTGCGTGTGTGTGAGCGAGTGTGTGTGTGTGTGGGGGTGCGTGTGTGTGAGCGAGTGTGTGTGTGTGTGGGGGTGCGTGTGTGTGAGCGAGTGTGTGTGTGTGTGGGGGTGCGTGTGTGTGAGCGAGTGTGTGTGTGTGTGGGGGTGCGTGTGTGTGAGCGAGTGTGTGTGTGTGTGGGGGTGCGTGTGTGTGAGCGAGTGTGTGTGTGTGTGGGGGTGCGTGTGTGTGAGCGAGTGTGTGTGTGTGTGGGGGTGCGTGTGTGTGAGCGAGTGTGTGTGTGTGTGGGGGTGCGTGTGTGTGAGCGAGTGTGTGTGTGTGTGGGGGTGCGTGTGTGTGAGCGAGTGTGTGTGTGTGTGGGGGTGCGTGTGTGTGAGCGAGTGTGTGTGTGTGTGGGGGTGCGTGTGTGTGAGCGAGTGTGTGTGTGTGTGGGGGTGCGTGTGTGTGAGCGAGTGTGTGTGTGTGTGGGGGTGCGTGTGTGTGAGCGAGTGTGTGTGTGTGTGGGGGTGCGTGTGTGTGAGCGAGTGTGTGTGTGTGTGGGGGTGCGTGTGTGTGAGCGAGTGTGTGTGTGTGTGGGGGTGCGTGTGTGTGAGCGAGTGTGTGTGTGTGTGGGGGTGCGTGTGTGTGAGCGAGTGTGTGTGTGTGTGGGGGTGCGTGTGTGTGAGCGAGTGTGTGTGTGTGTGGGGGTGCGTGTGTGTGAGCGAGTGTGTGTGTGTGTGGGGGTGCGTGTGTGTGAGCGAGTGTGTGTGTGTGTGGGGGTGCGTGTGTGTGAGCGAGTGTGTGTGTGTGTGGGGGTGCGTGTGTGTGAGCGAGTGTGTGTGTGTGTGGGGGTGCGTGTGTGTGAGCGAGTGTGTGTGTGTGTGGGGGTGCGTGTGTGTGAGCGAGTGTGTGTGTGTGTGGGGGTGCGTGTGTGTGAGCGAGTGTGTGTGTGTGTGGGGGTGCGTGTGTGTGAGCGAGTGTGTGTGTGTGTGGGGGTGCGTGTGTGTGAGCGAGTGTGTGTGTGTGTGGGGGTGCGTGTGTGTGAGCGAGTGTGTGTGTGTGTGGGGGTGCGTGTGTGTGAGCGAGTGTGTGTGTGTGTGGGGGTGCGTGTGTGTGAGCGAGTGTGTGTGTGTGTGGGGGTGCGTGTGTGTGAGCGAGTGTGTGTGTGTGTGGGGGTGCGTGTGTGTGAGCGAGTGTGTGTGTGTGTGGGGGTGCGTGTGTGTGAGCGAGTGTGTGTGTGTGTGGGGGTGCGTGTGTGTGAGCGAGTGTGTGTGTGTGTGGGGGTGCGTGTGTGTGAGCGAGTGTGTGTGTGTGTGGGGGTGCGTGTGTGTGAGCGAGTGTGTGTGTGTGTGGGGGTGCGTGTGTGTGAGCGAGTGTGTGTGTGTGTGGGGGTGCGTGTGTGTGAGCGAGTGTGTGTGTGTGTGGGGGTGCGTGTGTGTGAGCGAGTGTGTGTGTGTGTGGGGGTGCGTGTGTGTGAGCGAGTGTGTGTGTGTGTGGGGGTGCGTGTGTGTGAGCGAGTGTGTGTGTGTGTGGGGGTGCGTGTGTGTGAGCGAGTGTGTGTGTGTGTGGGGGTGCGTGTGTGTGAGCGAGTGTGTGTGTGTGTGGGGGTGCGTGTGTGTGAGCGAGTGTGTGTGTGTGTGGGGGTGCGTGTGTGTGAGCGAGTGTGTGTGTGTGTGGGGGTGCGTGTGTGTGAGCGAGTGTGTGTGTGTGTGGGGGTGCGTGTGTGTGAGCGAGTGTGTGTGTGTGTGGGGGTGCGTGTGTGTGAGCGAGTGTGTGTGTGTGTGGGGGTGCGTGTGTGTGAGCGAGTGTGTGTGTGTGTGGGGGTGCGTGTGTGTGAGCGAGTGTGTGTGTGTGTGGGGGTGCGTGTGTGTGAGCGAGTGTGTGTGTGTGTGGGGGTGCGTGTGTGTGAGCGAGTGTGTGTGTGTGTGGGGGTGCGTGTGTGTGAGCGAGTGTGTGTGTGTGTGGGGGTGCGTGTGTGTGAGCGAGTGTGTGTGTGTGTGGGGGTGCGTGTGTGTGAGCGAGTGTGTGTGTGTGTGGGGGTGCGTGTGTGTGAGCGAGTGTGTGTGTGTGTGGGGGTGCGTGTGTGTGAGCGAGTGTGTGTGTGTGTGGGGGTGCGTGTGTGTGAGCGAGTGTGTGTGTGTGTGGGGGTGCGTGTGTGTGAGCGAGTGTGTGTGTGTGTGGGGGTGCGTGTGTGTGAGCGAGTGTGTGTGTGTGTGGGGGTGCGTGTGTGTGAGCGAGTGTGTGTGTGTGTGGGGGTGCGTGTGTGTGAGCGAGTGTGTGTGTGTGTGGGGGTGCGTGTGTGTGAGCGAGTGTGTGTGTGTGTGGGGGTGCGTGTGTGTGAGCGAGTGTGTGTGTGTGTGGGGGTGCGTGTGTGTGAGCGAGTGTGTGTGTGTGTGGGGGTGCGTGTGTGTGAGCGAGTGTGTGTGTGTGTGGGGGTGCGTGTGTGTGAGCGAGTGTGTGTGTGTGTGGGGGTGCGTGTGTGTGAGCGAGTGTGTGTGTGTGTGGGGGTGCGTGTGTGTGAGCGAGTGTGTGTGTGTGTGGGGGTGCGTGTGTGTGAGCGAGTGTGTGTGTGTGTGGGGGTGCGTGTGTGTGAGCGAGTGTGTGTGTGTGTGGGGGTGCGTGTGTGTGAGCGAGTGTGTGTGTGTGTGGGGGTGCGTGTGTGTGAGCGAGTGTGTGTGTGTGTGGGGGTGCGTGTGTGTGAGCGAGTGTGTGTGTGTGTGGGGGTGCGTGTGTGTGAGCGAGTGTGTGTGTGTGTGGGGGTGCGTGTGTGTGAGCGAGTGTGTGTGTGTGTGGGGGTGCGTGTGTGTGAGCGAGTGTGTGTGTGTGTGGGGGTGCGTGTGTGTGAGCGAGTGTGTGTGTGTGTGGGGGTGCGTGTGTGTGAGCGAGTGTGTGTGTGTGTGGGGGTGCGTGTGTGTGAGCGAGTGTGTGTGTGTGTGGGGGTGCGTGTGTGTGAGCGAGTGTGTGTGTGTGTGGGGGTGCGTGTGTGTGAGCGAGTGTGTGTGTGTGTGGGGGTGCGTGTGTGTGAGCGAGTGTGTGTGTGTGTGGGGGTGCGTGTGTGTGAGCGAGTGTGTGTGTGTGTGGGGGTGCGTGTGTGTGAGCGAGTGTGTGTGTGTGTGGGGGTGCGTGTGTGTGAGCGAGTGTGTGTGTGTGTGGGGGTGCGTGTGTGTGAGCGAGTGTGTGTGTGTGTGGGGGTGCGTGTGTGTGAGCGAGTGTGTGTGTGTGTGGGGGTGCGTGTGTGTGAGCGAGTGTGTGTGTGTGTGGGGGTGCGTGTGTGTGAGCGAGTGTGTGTGTGTGTGGGGGTGCGTGTGTGTGAGCGAGTGTGTGTGTGTGTGGGGGTGCGTGTGTGTGAGCGAGTGTGTGTGTGTGTGGGGGTGCGTGTGTGTGAGCGAGTGTGTGTGTGTGTGGGGGTGCGTGTGTGTGAGCGAGTGTGTGTGTGTGTGGGGGTGCGTGTGTGTGAGCGAGTGTGTGTGTGTGTGTCAGTGAGTGAGTGTGAGTGTGAGTGTGTGTGTGTGAGTGATTGAGTGATTGAGTGTCTGTGTGTGAGTGCGTGTGTGTCAGTGAGTGAGTGTGAGTGTGTGTCAGTGAGTGAGTGAGTGTGTGTGTGTGTATTAAGCGCGGTCCACTGCTGCACACGTGCCACAATATCGATACAGGGCCAGCTGTATCGATACTCGTATCGTCAAATCTCTGTGACGATACATCGTCGTATCGATATTTTGAACACAGCACTACTTAGAAGGGTGTGTGTGTGTGTGTGTGTTTGTGTGTGTGTGTGAGAGTGTCAGGCTCACCTTGCGTCTGATGTTGTTGTTGTTGTTTATTGATCCTCCGTCAGTCTCATTACTGTCCTTCATCTCCTCCTGCTCACCACAGTCTTCCTCCTTTAAACTACAAACACAACATTTATTGGTAATAAATCAGCATTTTATGACATTCAAGCTGAAACATTATTGGACAAGATTTAATAACATTAATCAGATGTTATAGTTAATAGTTTTATTTTAAAAAATTAAATGTTTTAAAGGCTACAATTATATGTTGATTTGGTGATGTGATGCTAATATAAATACACACACACACACACATATATATATATGTGTGTATGTGTGTATGTATGTACATAGAACCCTCATCATGATTGTATATACCATGAACTGAATGGTAATTTCGTGAAACTGTAAACTGTAGCTGTTTAAATGTTCATAAATTCAGATGTGATTGGTTTAATTAGCCGTTAGCCGCTAACTTACTTTTCAAACTGATTCATTCCGCTTCGTATTTCTTCCTTCTTCCTATAAACGCTTGTATATAGCTGCGATATAATATTTATAATAATAATAAAGATATGATACAATCAGATGATAATGTTTTTAATTCAAAGAGCAGTTAACAAACTCGACTGCATGCTACCCCGAAGCGACCACTCTCACTGCGCATGCGCGAA